GAGCTGTAACCACCCCAGACCCAGGTGAAAGGGGAGGGAGTGCATATTGATACCAGGAAGTAGAAAAGTCACATAGAGGAAGGTAGAGATGACAATGTTGCCTTGAGAGAGACAGAGGGGCACAGCCAGCCCTGGGCCTCCTCATGGGGGGGCCTTGCTCCTCTGCTCTGGAGTATTCATGGGCTCCCCGTTGGACAGTCAGAAGTCAGAGGACAGAGTGAGCAGAAAATAAGCAGCACACGGTGACCAGCAGCCAAGGATGCAGTTAGTCCTGTAACACCCTCCAAGGTAAACCAGGAACCCAGTCTCCCATGAGGTCAGCTAGCTTCAGGAAGAAAGAGGAACTATGCACCAGCCTGGCACCTGCCCTGATGTGACTCTTACCTTGCCTACCTAACTCCATCAGTTACACAATGTTCTCCTTTGGAGCTGTCTGCTTCTTCCTCCCCATGCCACACTACCTCTGGCCACCGCCCTCTCTCATCTGAATTTCTCTAACGGCCTAGCTGTCTCATCCAGTCTCTCTTGTCCATGCACCAGATCTTCCCAACATGCTGGCCTGAGCCTATCATTTTCTTCCCTAACACCACCTCACACAGCATCCGAATGAAATCCACACAGCTTACCATGGCTTATGAGGCCCTTTGTGTTCTGGCTCTGGATTACATTTCCAGCATCATTTCTTGCCAGTTCTCAATCCCCCTCAACAAATGCCCCCCCCCCACCCCCCGCTCAAATCCATTCCACTGTGGTCCAGCCACAGAGAACTGCTCTCTGATCTCTCTCTGACTCCAAGGCCTTTGCACATGCTATTTCTCCTCTTGAAAGTCAGGAAGTCAATTCTAACTGGACTCTTTCTCATTCCTCATTCCTTTGTTGTTAGTTGTTCTGGGCAAGGCTTGCGTGCCGTTCTTATATGCTCCCATAGCATCCTGACTCTGCCCAAGTCATAATTTTAAAAAATTAATTCAAGAGAGATTTACTGAGTACCTGGAATGCACCAAGCCCTTCCGCCTCAGGCCTCCTCTCATGCCGTTCTTTCCACATGGCACGTTCATCCTTTTACTCTTCATCTGGGCAACTCTTATTTATTCTTTGAGTCTCCCTGAATCATTATTTCCTGCAAGAGGTCCCCTGCCCCTTTTCTCTTCCACAGCATCCTGTATGACTTCGATATTGTGATGTCTGTCTCCTTCTCTCCACGTGGGAAGGGGCCAGGTCTGTTTTGTCTGTGATCGCGTGCCCTCCCTAGCTCAGAGCCTGGCATGCAGCAGGCACTGGTCACATATGGGTAAAGGAGTGAGGAGTAGGGCTCTCCCATTAGACCATGACAAGGAATAAAGAATTGTATGTTCCAGGGGTGAACTCAGGTTTTGTGGGGCCTGAAGCTTAGACTTAAGATGCTTTCTTATTTAAGAAAAATACAAAATTACAAAAACAAAATTAGGCAGGAAAGTGGACCTTTATGTAAATTGGGAAAAGAGATAACCACAAATTGTAAAATGTTTAGAGTGGAAAAATACTTCAAGTATCACAAAATATAGAAAAATAATATCATATTTGTTAGTTAACTGCCTAGCACACTACAGTAAGCCTTTCTCCACATTATTTGGCTGAATAATACTCTTTTATCGCCTCTTCATCTATAACAATTTTGTAATACCTTCTGTACAGAGAATGGAATGAGAATTAAGTCCTCTGGCATAATAAAAATTGTACGTATGATTGATGGTTGGGATGCATAAAAACGTGTGACCATAGCCAGACGTACTTGTTTGTAGGACTGCTACAGTTTGTATTCTACAAACACAGGAATTCTGACAAATTCCATACGGCATTTTAAAAAGGGGAAAAAAAGGAATGCACATAATTGTATCGCTACATTACTCGATATATGACTAGGTATCAGTGAGGACTGAATTGTGACTAACAATCTCACACGTCTGATGATTGGAAGAATTTCCTACGGACTAGCTTCTGGCTCCACACAGTTCAAATCGTGTTTCTCCTCTATTACCGATACGCTTCCAGGGCCAGTTTCCATGGGACACTCACTGATCTCATTTGGTCTTTGGCACTGTATTAAGTGTCACAATGCCAGGTAAGTTGGCACTGCGGGCAGTAAGAGTGTTCCTGGGAGTTCAAGACCCTCCTGGACAATATGGTAAAACCCCACCTCTACTAAAAATACTAAAATTAGCCGGGTGTGATGGTGGGCACCTGTAGTCCCAGCTACTCAGGAGACTGAGGCAGGAGAATCACTTGAACCTGGGAGGCGGAGGTTACAGTGAGCTGAGATCACCCCACTGCACTCCAGCCTGGGTGACAGAGCGAGACTCCGCTTAAAAAAAAAAACAGAAAAAGAGTGTTCCTGGGAGCCACTTCTGCACTGAGATGGCCAGCAAAAGCCAACTCTACACGAAAGTGACAAGATGACTGCAACAACCTAGATATGGCCCATAAAACAACTGTATCCCTAACTAACTTCCCCCTAGCCGGATCCCAAAAATGTCCACGGCCACTTCAGTTCTGGGCAACATGACGGGGAGTGTGGCAGAGGGAAAGTCTGAGTGGAAAGAGATAGCAGTCTGAACTGAGTTAAGTTTGGCAAGTCTCACAAAACATGTGGTCGCCGCAGACACATTACGAGGGCGCCCTTCAGAACTGTCCTAAGGGGTGGCCCTAAAGCTTACGCTTTGCTAACTTCATAGTAAATCTGCCTGTGCCTGTATCGTATTCACTACTATGTGTGGCCCCTGGCACCACGCCTGGCACATAGTAGTTGCTTAATAAATATATGCTGAGTGAGGAAAAGTGTTGCTTGGCCTCATTACCCAGGAGATGGTCTCTTTCCCCAGTAGATCTCGTCGCTTTGTTTGAAAGCTGGGACTCAGTTAGTTGAGCAGACTTACTGGAGGCACTGGGAGAGGAAAGAGGGACCGCTTGGTGGGATAAGCTCTCCCATCTCCTCATCACCGGGCAAATAAGCCAATGCCAACACGTCAGCTGCCCTCATTAGCAGTGAAGCGGCCCTGGCTGCCCTCCTGGGGTCATTCTAATTGGCTCCAATCAGAGAAAGCCAGGTCTGGGCTTTATTAACAGTGACAGCAGCTCTACCGTTAGAAGAGCAGGTAGAAAGGTCACACTGGAAACACCATTTCCAAGCACAGCGTAATTACAGACAGCTCATTCTGGCTTTCACAGCTATGCTGGGGAATCTTTATTTATCCAGCCCTGCTGATCGTGGCCTTCCGGCTTCCTGCTTCCATTTTCTTCCTTGTTGTGAGACGGTTGAACTTTGGGGTCCCACACACGTTTTTTTGAAACAGAGTCTTGCTTTGTTGCCAGGCTGAAGTGCAGTGGTGCAATCTCAGCTCACTGCAACCTCCGCCTCCCGGGTTCAAGTGTGCCTCAGCCTCCTGAATAGCTGGGATTACAGGTGCATGCACCACTGCGTCTGGTTGATTTTTGTATTTTTAGTAGAGATAGAGTTTCACCGTATTGGTCTCGATCTCTTGACCTCTTGATCCGCCCACTTCGGCCTCACAAAGTGCTGGGATTACAGGCATGAGCCACCACGTCCGGCTCACATTTTTCTTTATGGCCTTGAGTCCAGCAAGAAGAAAAATCCTGGATTCCTAAGGGTCTGACTCTAGGGGCCTCCGGTGCTAAAGAATTTGAGTCTGACATTCTAGGGTAAGGAGAGTAGGCTGTGTTCTAGACAAGCGTTAAGTCTTTGGAGGACCGTGGTTTGAAGGTACTGGTGACTGAGAAGCAAAACCACTTCACACTCTAGCAGCCACTCGGCACATCTACCTTGTCTGCTGCTCTCTCGGGGAAATCTTCCCGGACCCGGGGCAGTGAGCCACTCCTCTGTGCTCCCGCAACATTGGGCTCAAGTCTCTATGACACGACTCACGGCATTGTCTTTCATTTATTAGCTTAGCCACCTGTCTTCCAAGATGGACTGCCAGTGACTCAAGGACACTAACAATTCTCATTCATATTTATAGTTTTGGTTTATTCCCTAAGCACAGGGCCTAGCACTTGGTACATACTGACTGACTGTCCAAAGAAGGGAGTGGAAGACATCGCTAATAAGATGAACCAGGAGTTTCCGGACAGCTGAACACATGGAAGTTGCAGGAGGGTGGTGCACCCAGGGAGGGCACGGAAGCTCCATGCTCCTTCCCCCAAACCTCGCTCTTGTGTCTCTTCATCTATGTCCTTTAGAATAAACCAGTAAACATAAGGTCTATAAGAAAGTAATAGGGTTAAGTGAGGTCATAAGGGTAGTGCCTTATCCCATAGGACTCTTGTCCTCATAAGCAGAGGAAGAGACACCATGAAACCTTCTCTCCACACAAGCATAGCAAAGAGGGCATATGAAGATGCAGCCACCCACGATGAGGGATGAGAGCACTCATCAGAACCCAACCCTGGTGGTGCACTGATATTAGATCTAGCCTCAAGAAAGGTGAGAAAATAAATTGCTGTAGTTGTTTTTTTCTTTTTTTTTTTGAGATGGAGTCTTGCTCTTCTTGCCCAGGCTGGAGCCCAGCGGCACGATCTTAGCTCACTGCAACTTCCACCTCCTGGTTTCAAGCAATTCTCCTGCCTCAGCCACCCAAGTAGCTGGGATTACAGGTGCCCTCCACCACACCTGGCTATTTTTTTTTTTTTTTTTTAAGTAGAGATGGGGTTTCACCATCTTGGCCAGGCTGGTCTTGAACTCCTGACCTCGTGATCTGCCCATCTTGGCCTCCCAAAGTGCTGAGATTACAGGGACGACCTACTGAGCCCAGCCTCTTTTATTTTTTTCTTCCTTAAAAAGATGAACTTGTGTGGGCATAGAGTTATACAGTAGAAATAGCATGTCTAAGAGGTTAAGTTTGGTCTTGGGAGTAAACTGGTTTGAATTCCAGTTCCACCACTATTTTAATGAGAATTAGGTTTGGCTATAAATGACTGAAACCCCAAAACAATAGTGGCTTAAGCAAGTTAGATGTTTACTTTTCTCTTTCACGTAGAATTCTGGAGGTGGCCACCTCAGGACTCCCAAGTTAGCTCCAGCATGTCCTGGGGGACTCAGGCTCCTGCTCTTTTGCTGCTCTGCTGTTAATAGCCTTGGTCCCATCATGGCACTGGGTGGCACCCTCCAGCCCAAGCTGTCATGTCTGCATTCCACCGGCGGAGAGAAGGCTCAGAGCTCCAGGAAGTTGCGCATACCTGTCCTGTTGCCCACAAGTTAGTCACGTGGACACCTAGCTTCAACAGAGTCTGGAGGATGTACTTACAACTCTAGCAGGCCACATGCTCAGCTAAAAATGAGGGTCTATTACCGTACAAGAAGGAGAAATTTGATTTTTGAGAAAAATAGTCTCTGTCATACTCACTAGCTATGTGACTTTGGGGAAATGAATGACTCTCTCTGACTCTCAGTTTCCTCGTTCAAGAGTCAGAAGAATGCAAGCAGCTTAGCAAAGTGCCTTGCGTTGCTGAAGGGCTGAGCTGTTATTTTCCTTCGGTTGTGGCTAGGCTGGCGGGAGGTGGGTCCCTCACAGGGAGCATGTGCATGTAAGCATGCCTGAATCGGAGTTTTTATTTGTGACTTGGGGTTTGTTACATCTGCATTTTGAGCACTATTCTCATAATGGAGTTTCCTGATTTGGGGAAGTATTGTTCAGAAAAAACTTGCAAGCAGCTAGATTTTCTTCCAGTAAAATGTGATACATGTAAACAAGATTTCTGTAAAGATCATTTTACATATGCTGCACATAAGCATCCATTTGCATTCCAGAAGGATGTTCAAGTCCCGGTGTGCCCACTCTGTAATATCCCCATCCCAATAAAAAAGGGACAGATCCCAGCCGTGGTGGCTGGCGATCATATGGATGGAGACTGTGACTGTCATCCTGGGAAGAAGAAAGAGAAGATTTTTACATACCGGCGCTCAAAAGAGGGCTGCAAGAAGAAAGAGATGCTGCAGATGGTGTGTGCCCAGTGTCATGGCAACTTCTGCATCCAGCACAGACACCCCCTGGACCACAGCTGCAGACACAGGAGCCGCCCCACTATCAAAGCTGGGTGAGAAGAGACTCAGCTGTGATTGTGCTGGCTCAGAACACATGGTAGCATACTGGGACCAGCGTACACTCTAAAGGGCAGAGTGGAGCGACACAGAGCACCGGCCCACACTAAGCTGCTGATCTTAACTGTTTGTTGAGGTAGATGGGAATATAATAAAATTGAATGCTGAAATTGAAAAGAAAAAAACCCACCAAGATTCTGCATGCTAGTTTTCTCATTTATAGAATGGAGGCAACAATAACCCTTTCTTTATAGGGTTCTTGTGAGGATTATTGGAGATATTGTATGTAAAGCATTTCATAGAGTACTGAGCAAGAAAGACTGTAAGTGCTGGCTTCTTCTATTATTACTAGTCAAGACAAGCCCTGAGTGACCTTGAGATCGACCATGAAGACGATGCCGGAGAAGGTTCCATAAGATTCAGACTCCAAAATTCAACTCATTCTAAGGGGCGGGACTGATGCTGCAACCAGGATTACAGATTAACTTGGCGCACAGTGACTGTGTTGGTACGCTTGCATTTTGAATTCTCTCCAAATAGAGCTAACCTTAAAGGCAACGGGAACATCCTCTGCCTTCCTGCACGTCTTCACTCCCCAGCAATTCTCATCTACAGGGTGCCTTCCCCAAAGCGCTCAGGCAGGAAGCACCAGGATTAGGAGTCCTAAAAGTCAGAAGGAATTTCTGGCCCCAGCAGGACCTGGAGGGCTGCCCCCAGGCTGTGTATAGGCTGGGAAAGCCTGTCCCCTCAGGCAGAAGTTGCAAAGGAACAGAAAATAAGCCAAGATCAGGTGAGCCAGACTTCAGCTTGATGAAACAAACAAAACACACTTTTTCTCTTTCGCTCGGGCTTCTGGGATTAGCGGTTAGGTCCCCAGAGTATACCGGGTGTTTATTCTCGCTTCGAGGAGTAGGAAGGGTCGGAGGCACAGGGCCTCTCCCGGTAGCTCCTTGTTGCTTCTACTTCTTGCAGAAGCCAAACTGGGACCCTCTGCCATGTACCCTTCATGTTCACAGGCTGCTTCTCAATTCAGCACTAGCTGATCAACTGCCAGGGATCCCTGAGAGACGGGAAAGACTGGGTGGGAAATGGATGATTGTAACCCTGCCGGTTCCCAGTCTTTCAGGCTTCCAGGCTCCCAGGGAACCCTTCCCACTCAGCACAACTGACCACCACGGTGACTGCTCCATCAGTTCCCATGGCTGCTGGGCAACCCATCTGTAAAGGAAACTGTTTGATTCCAGAACATTCCCACCTAAATCACAAATCTGCTGTTCTTCTGCAGTCTGCGAAGAGGATGTATCATCTGAAGCGAAAAATTGGAAACAACCTAAATAACTAAGGAAAGGAGATTGGTTGCCCAAATGATGGTTCCAGCATTTCAAGTAATATTATGTGACCATTAAAAACTATAATCACGAGGATTATGTGGTGACTTGGAAAAGTGCTTATATTATGACATAAAGTGAAACTGTAAAATCTCATCTCTGCCGTGAGTGCAGTGGTAAAAACTATATTACATCTGGATTAAAAAAAATACACCAAAAAAAGGAAAAAAATGGGGTGGGAGGATGGTGGGTATAATTTCCCCTTTCACGTATTCTGGTATCTGCTCCTGCTGTTTGTGCACTAAGAAAATCATTTTAAAATCTCGCTCACTAACCTATCATGCACTTTCACCTTCCCCCAAAGAAAAAGAAACCTCATCCACTGAAATTTGCTAGTGTGGCCCCTCTGCTTATTTTGATATCAACTCTTCAATCAATATTCTCAGGAAAAGATATGACTATTTTAAGTTGAAAGCAAACCACAGATGAACTCAGTTCCCTGGTCAATTCTCCTCCCAGTAGGTGGTGATAGTTAAAAACACCTCAACCACCTCCTTAAGGGCCAAATCAGTCCCACCCCTGCAGTGAGGACTGTAAACAACTTAGATCCTTCAGGTGCTCGGCATTTGAATTCCTGGGCCACCTGCGGCAGACTCACCTGAAGTAGACTTTAGAGGTGGGGCTGCTTACTCTGTTCCGCACCAGGAACAAAACTACTCAAAAATCCTTACTCTGAATTTGAGTGAATCCTGAGTGAACAGGAAAAATAAGAAAACATCACCTAACAAAGACCCAGAATTTCAGGAGCCATTTTAGTACCATCCTTGCCATGAACTCATTGTGTAAGGCTAAGCACATCCCTCAACCACTCTCCAGATTAAGGGAACGGATTGTAACCTGCCTGTAACTGGCTGATGGACAGAAAACCATGCAAACAATGGCGCGGAGCACTTTGCAAATAGGAAACAGAACCTGGGATCTGGAGTCAGAAAGTCTGGATCCAAGCCAAGGATCTCCATACATAAACACTGGGACTTCAGGCTATTGGTTTCTGAGTCTGTTTCCTCATCAGTAAAATGGGGATAAGACTCTAAGCACCCAGATTGTTGTGACATTTGAGTTTATGAGAAAAAGCTTTGTAAATTGTAAAGCACATGTATGAGTTTGTTATGGTTGTCATAATAAAACTCCACAGACTGTGTGGTTTAAGCAACAGAAGTTAATTTTTTTTCTTTTTTTTGAGATAGAGTCTCACTCTTGTCGCCCAGGCTGGAGTGCAATGGTATGATCTCAGCTCAATGCAACCTCTACCTTCTGGTTCAAGTGATTCTCCTGCCTCAGCCTCCTCAGTAGCTGGGATTAGACGCATGCACTACCATGCTCGGCTAATTTTTAAATATTTTTAGTAGAGACAGGGTTTCACCATGTTGGCCAGGCTGGTCTTGAACTCCTGACCTTGTGATCCGCCCGCCTCGGCCTCCCAAAGCACTGGGATTACAGGCATGAGCCGCTGCGCCCAGCCCTTCCCCGCCCTGCAATTTGTGAAGCCAGAAGCCTGAGATTAAGGTGTCAGTGGGGCTGGTTTCTTGTGAGGCCTCTCCTTGGCTTTTCGGCAGCCACTTTCTCTGTCTCTTCCCACGATCTTTCTCCATGTGTGTCTGTGTCCTAGTCTCCTCTTCCTATAGGACACCAGTCATATAGAATCAGGGCCCACCCAAATGACCTCAGTTTAACTTAATGCCTTCCTAGAAGACCCATCTCCAAATACAGACATATTTGATTTGCTTTATTGGACTTGGCTTTATTATGCTTCACAGAAACTGCTTTTTTCACGAATAGAGGGTTTGTGGCAACCCTGCATTGAGCAAGTCCATTGGCATCATTTTTCCAAATACGTGTGCTCACTTCATGGCTTTGTGTCACATCTGGGTAATTCTCATAATACTTCAGATTTGTTCATTATGATTTCTGTTATCATCATCTATGAAAAGTGATACTTGATGTTCCTATTATAATTGTTTTAGGGTGCCATGGACTGTACCCATACAAAAATGGCAAACTGAATTGATGAATGTGTGTGTTCTGATTGTTCCACTGACTGGCTCTTCCCCAGTAGCTCCCTTTCCTCGGGCCTCTCTGTTCCCTGTGACACAATATTATTAAAATTAGGCCGATTAGTAATCCTAAGATGACTTCTAATTGCTCTAGTGAAAGAAGAGTTGCATGTGTCTCAACCAAAAGCTAGAAATGATTACACTTACTGAGGAAGGCATGTCAAAAGCCGAGACAGGTCAAAAGCTAGGACTTTTGTGCCAGTTAACCAAGTTGTGAGTGCAAAGGAAAAGTTCTTGAAGGAAATTTGAAGTGCTAGCCCAGTGAACACACAAATGATAAGAAAGCAAAACAGCCTTATTGCTGATATGGAGAAAGTCTGAGTGGTCTGCATAGAGGATCCACCAGCTACAACATTCCCTTAAGCCAAAGCCTAATCTAGAGCAAGGTCCTAACTCTTTTCCATTCTGTGAAGGCTAAGAGAGCTGAGGAAGATGCAGAAGAAAAGTCTGAAGCTGTCAGAGGTTGTTTCATGAGATTTCAGGAAGGAAGCCATCTCTAAGACATAAACGTGCAAGGGGAAGCAGCGAGTGCTGAGGCAGAAGCTGCAGCAGCTTATCTGGAAGATCTTGCTGAGGTTATTAATGAAGGGGCCTAGTTTAACAACAGAGTTTCAATAAAGATGAAACAGTCTTATATTAGAAGATGACATCTAGAACTTTCATAGCTGGAAAGGAGAAGTCAATGCCTGGTTTCAGAGTTTCAAAGGTTGCGCTGATTCTCTTACGAGGGGCCAAGCAGCTAGTGACGAAGGTAAAGCCAATGCTTATTTACCATTCCCTAAGTCCTAGGGCCTTTGAGAATTATGCTGATTCTACTTTGCCTATGTTCTGTAACTTGGACAACAAAGCCTGGGTGACAGCATCTTTGTTTACAGCATGGTTTACTGAATACAGTTGACCCATGAACAATCCAGAGGTTAGTGGCACTGACCCCCACCACAGTCAAAATTTGTGGATAACTTTTGACTCTCCTAAAGTACTAATAGTTTACTGTTGACCGGAAGTCTTACCAATAATATAAACAATCAACTAATGCATATTTTGTTTATGTGTTACATACTGTATTCTTGCAACAGATCAAGCTGGAGAAAATAAAATGTTAGTAAGAACATAATAAGAAAGAGAAAATGTGTTTATTATTCATGAAGATAGAAGCGGATCATCATAAAGGTCTTCATCCTTGTTGTCTTCATGATAAGTAGGCTGAGGAGGAGGAGGAGGAAGACAAAAGATTGGTATTGCTGTCTCAAAGGTGGCAGAGGTAGAAGGCAAGGCAGAAGAGGCAGGCACACTCAGTGTAAGTTTTATTGAAAAAAAAATCCATATATAAGTGGACCTGCATAGTTCAAACCTGTGTTGTTCAAGGGTCAATTATATTTTAAGCCCACTGTTGCGACTTACTGCTCAGAAAACAAAGACTTCTTTCCAAATATTACTGTTCATTGACAATGTACCTTGTCATCCAAGATCTCTGATACAGATGTACAGGGAGATTAATGTTGTTTTTATGTCTCCTAGCAAACATCCATTCTGCTGCTCATCGATCAAGGAGTAATTTTCACTTTCAAGTCTTGTAATTTAAGAAATACATTTTGTAAGGCTATAGCTGCCACAGATAGTGAGTCTTCTGATGGACCTGGGCAAAGTAAAATTGAAAATCTTCTAAAAAGGATTCACCATTCTAGATGTCACTAAGAACATCTGTGATTCATGGGAAGAGGTCAAAATATCGACA